CCCTAAAAAAATGGTTCGACCCATAACAAACCCTAAACACTCAAAACTAACCCTAATACACTATAACACACATAATAATAATAATATATATGAAAGAGGAATACCCTCTCCAGAATTGTGCCACATTGACATGCGAAATTGTAACACGTGTCCAAAAAATATTCTTATGCATTTCTAAAACGTCCCATTTATCATATGTAGTTAAAGAGCCTTCATTTCAGCTTTCATGTTCTCACGTTGTCTTTACAACTTCCCGTTGAATTATTAATTGTGGAATATCAATCCTAATTGCTTTAGTAAAAACTCTTCCGCCAAAAATACACGAATCGCTCTCAAAACGTGTCTCGGACATAGAGAAGATGGTTTTCAACTTCATCGAGGATAAAATGGCTAAGCTTGTGAGATAGTCAAAGTATGAATTCATCAATTTTCCTTCACTCTATATTTGTTCGATCAAAGGTATTCAAATAGCTGATATAATCAAATTTTTATTGCCGGTTCGACAAAGTTTGTCGAAACAAATAAGAATCATACACATCTCTCTCTGAATAATCGCCTTCTTGTCCAGATGGTGCAGTCTATAATTTGTCCTGTTAAAACTTGATTTTTGGTGTCTGCATTAGTCGCATGTTTCATTAATCCTAGAGCTTCAATTGTGTTTCTTCTTTCCGTCGGTCACAACATTACCCTTCTCTCTCCGGATTCATTTGTTTTTCACGATCACAGTATCTTCTTCAACGATTGAAACCTCTCTCCATCCGATTTGGTGTTTAGTTGTTCTTAGTTTCTTAGGATAAGACACTCTTGGGAAGGCTTTTGTGTTTTATTTCGTTGTGGATCTTCAAAATTAGATATATTTATCCATACAATTTGTTTCATTGTGTGATGTAGAAGAAGAGCTTTGGTCATGGATGAGTGCTCGGACAAGCAGGGCTTAGCGAAAAGATGTCTCTGGGAGAACCGTCTACGTCTCCGATCTCATTCAATCAACAAACTCAAAGTTTGCACATTTTCTCTAAATTATGATTGTTCTCAAACTTAGAAGTTCTTCGTTTTTTCATTGTGTACGTGTCTTTAGGTGTTACAGGGTCACTGGTTCACTGAAGAGCAGCTTGCTGCTTTGTTTCTGATCTGTGGACACGTCACTGTAACATTAGCCATGACACGCTGAATGGAAAATGGTTCATAAATCGTGGACACTTTGCTACTAATCTTACTGTAAGTCCCACAAATTTCAAATAAAGTAATTTTCTACTCGAGGTTACTCTTATATTGTGGAAAAATATAGATCTAACACTATCTTCAAGTAATAAAAACAGAGGTCGTTTCAAGAATACTCGGTCAAGAACACTCATTGATTGAGGAATATAAATATACAGCTCATAGCAATGTCGCTCACAATTACTCTTTATCCCGTTGCAAAGTTTCGCATTGAGTTCTCCCTTATGCAGAGGTTTCTTTCCACATTTAATCTCTCACCAATGTCAACACATTTTCTACTTTTCTTATACCTTACAACTGATCTTTGCTTTGTGTTTTTTTTTGCAAATCTTAGTAAGCGAGATTCCAAAGTCATTCTTGCATTTCATCACAAATGTTTGTGCCTTAATAGGTGACGTTTTCATGGCAATACTATTCTCATATTTCATCACAAATGTTTTTCCTATCTTTGTTTCATTCTCCTATGGCTTCCATGGTGTGAAAGTAAGGTTTCTGCTTGTTGGATTTCAGGTCCCGGGATTACTAGATTTTATATTTCAAAACACAATCAAACTTGTGAAAGAGTTTAAGCTCGGAAAAAACATTTGATCACGAATATAAGTGAGAGGTTAGATGTTAGTTTTTCATATCTATTAAGATCTACAAAGCCATGTAAAAAACGCTTATTTTTACATACTTTTTAGACTTTTAAAATTCTGAATAGCAGTTTCAAAGAATAAATGAACAATTATGAATTGTGTATTTCACTTACATTCGAA